TCCAAATAATTCAAATTAATCCTCCTTTCAACCTCAAAGGCTTAGGTTTCACCCAAAATTCTCAAATTCAAATTCTAACCTCAAATAAATGTTTCCTAGTATTTATTACACTTCCAACGAACTCAACAACCATAATAAAGTATCATAAGTTTGGATTAAACACCCTATAGGAAAACTCTAACTTAAAAATCTTCATCAAACTCAAGAAAAGTTATATAGAAATGCAGAAAAGGAAGCTAGAAACTCACCCCATGCGGTTGCACAGCCTAAATCCTCTTCAAGACTCAAAGATTTCATGTCCTGGCATAGCAAAAATCGAAAGTATCTCATATTTTCTCCTCCTTCTCATGTACATTTTGCCTAATTTTGCAAAACATGGACACTTAAAATGCCTGGTTGCCTAATTTTACAACTAAAGAAAGAAATGTTAATGTTAAAATAAACATCTTTGCACAAGAGTACAAAGAGTGGTTCATCATGCTCAATTGCACTCATCACCTCATTTATTTTTTTGCAAATAGATTTTCAATTTTTCCCTCCTTTCCCCCCTCTTTTTGTAGTTTTCTATAGTTTTTTACAATCTTTTTTTGATATTTATAAGTCAACATAAGCTTCATGGGCAATAAGGTAGTTTATCACCTATTATGTACAAAAAATAAGGTGTTCTTACGACTATCACACATGGCACTTTTGTCAAACTATCACAGTCTCCCAAGCAATGAGTGGCAAGCCATTATTGGTACTACATCACAAAGGAAATCATTAACATATTTACCGATAGTAAATGGATTAGAACTTGTTTTGTTATGATCTGAGCACATTCATTCAACCATTAGAATTTATAGGGCTTAGGATGATTGATGGTGTTCAAGTTCAATTTCTTGACAAGAATAGTGTTAGCCAAATTCAATTGACAACTATTGTCAAAGCTAACACTGCAAATCTTATCCTACATGTAGCAATGAGTATGTAATATCTGCTCTCTTCATTCAATTTTACCATCAACCTATAGTTGTGCATTAAGTACAAGCAAAGTAACTAAGACCTCTCTAGTAATAGGCCATTTCTTCTCCATTAAGGGAGTCATTCGAATTTCCATTAGAATCATCATAGCTATCATTATTGCAATTAGAATGCTCACTATTATGACCTCCATTTTCAAGTACAATAACAATACGCTTACTAGGACAATGATAAGATTTGTGACCTCTTTCTTTACATTTAAAACATTCAATTGTTAATATAAAGGTTTATAATTAGAGACTTTTACCCTTGAATTCTTCCTTGGCCCTTGGCTTGGGATTTTCAATTGCCATAAAATTCTTCCATTTAGATGTAGATTAAGAGTCTCTCCATATAGTAGAAGATTTAATTTTCTTTTCCTTCAAGTTTCTTTCTATTGTCATTGCTTTATGGACCAACTCTTCTTTATTAACAAAGTATATAATTTTAATCTTTTGTCGAATTTCAGGCCATTATCCATCAAGGATCTGAGTGATGGATGCTTGATAATCTTCTTGCTCTCTTACTCTCATTTTAAGTTTATTAAGTTCATGTATATATTCAACCATAGACATGCTCCCTTGATTAAAAGTTTAGAATTTTCTATTCAAATCCATTAGTAATAGCTGGGTACATTCTTTTCTCTCATGTACTTCTTGAGTTTTTCCCAAGATTTTAGAGGCTTCTTATGTTGAAGTCGACGCCTCATCACCATATTAGTGCATAATCAGAAAATTGAAGGGTAGCCATTTTTTCCTCAATTTTAACAAGCACATCATTAGTTATAAGTTATATCATTAAATTTTTATCGCAAATTTCACTCTTTGCCCTCTATTAAATGTTGATGAGATAAAACACGTTATAAAGCATGTATATTTAATGTAGGCAAAATCAAAAACTTATTATATTTTTAGATAGAGCTAATGAGTTTTTTTTTCTATTCTAGTAAAACATGTTGGACATAATTTATAAATCCAACAAAATAAGTATATATCTACTTCGTCCAATTCTTATCATAGGGCTCATTCTTGAAAGATTCTTTGATCCTTAATATAATAAGACATTTGACGGAGTATTAATTACATTTTCTCAATATCACATTTAGATCCATTAACTATGAGAGACAATATAATATAAATTTTAAAATTTTTTATTAAAATAAGAATAAAATTAGAAATTTATTTTATGTTGTCAAGTAAAGTTAATAACAAAAAATACCTCATACTAATACCCAATCAATTATATTATACTAAGAACTAAAAAAAAAAAAATTCCTGTAATAGAAATTGGTAGGATATATAAAAGGAAATATGACAATAAAATCGCTCTGAATCATATAAATTATAAATTAGTCCCTCAAAGTGCTATAATTTGACTGAAGTCCTAAAAACTTTTGTGTTAATAAATTTTAAAATGAAATAACTATGTTACCCTTATTAAAAATTACAAGCCCGAAACACGACTTTTATTTAAGAAATAACAACTTTTATTCTATGAATTGTAAGAGTTAAATAAGAAATCACAACTTATCCAGTATAATTTTTGTTATTAAAAAAAATTTAAAAATAATAAACGTCAATCACAAGTTTCATCTAAAGAATGACAACTTTTGTTCTATAAATTGTAAAGAATTGAACAAAAAAATTATAACTTATCAAATATAATTTTTATTTTTTAAAAATAAGTTTTTAAAATAACAAATTCCAATCACAACTCAAAAAATAATAATTTTTATTTGAAAAATTATAAAAATTGAATAAAAAATTATAATTTATTAATAAAAATAAAATAATCTTTTCAAAAGTCTCTAGAAAACTTTGTGAAATTATATTATTTTAAGAGATTGTTAAAAAAAAATCAGATTTTTATTTGTATAATTTAAAAAAATTTATTGCCATTTTCCCTGTATATAAAGTGGTGGAAGCTGGGATGGCCACGGCCACCCTTTTAATAACGCGGTTCCACTACTGCGTAACACGCCATCCACAGTAAATAATAATAATAATAATAATAATAAAGAAGAAGCAAATCCACGCAAAGAAAGGGCGCGTAATGGGTACAATTGACTGATTTTGATTTGAAGGAAGGAGTGGGGCCAAGCCTACGTAATATATATAGAGCATTTCACTGTCCTATCTTATATTGTCCAGAGTCTGCACACATGTATTATCAATGTCGTACTATTAATGACGCAAATCACAGCGCCCAGCCAATTCATGGGGATCAGTTTCGCTGCGGTGCATCATAAATCTCGGGTATGTTTGGATTTCAGTTGAATATAATAAATTATAAAAATAATTGATTAAGTGGTAAATTTTAATCATAATTGATTATGTTATAATGTAATTTGTTTGGATATTATTTTTTTAAAATTAATTTTAACTTAATATATGTTAACAACTTTTTTAAAGATTTAAAATTTGAATTTTACTAAGAAAAAAAAAAGAGAAGAAAAGGGAGTTTGATTTTTTTTTATATAAAATTTTGTGCTTTTTTATAATTTTTTTGGACCTTTTTATGTAATTTCTCCAGTTTTTTTTATCAACGTTTCTGAAAAAGCTCAAAATATTAGCTTTTGAAAAAAATCGATTTTAAGGGTTGAAATTGATTTTTTGCTTTTTTAAATGTTTAGCTAATAAATTAAATAATCAATTTTTTTGAGAATAAAATCGATTAAAGACGTATCCAAACGGACACCTCATTGTTTGTCCAGATGACAATTTTATTTTTTATATTTTTAATATTCTTATGAAATTATTATTTTAATAGATATATCATTTCAAATAAAGATAAAAATTCTCTCCTATTATTAAGTTGCGTCCTGGTCCATCCTGGCGCGTGCATAAGTGTGGCAAAGTGGTAAATTTTTTGAAAAATGAAGCCTAACTAAAAAAAAGTTATCATTGATGTCTTTAACATTCCACGAGGGAGCTCGAGGGAAGCATCAGGAGACGACCTATGCCCACCATGCGATATTGACAATATTCTCATACTTCCTCTTCTTCATCTCATAAAACATGCTTAAATGGTTCGATATGTTTATTATTAAAAAAATAATTCAATATTCTAAAATATAAAATGATTTTAAAAAATAATGATTTCATTATTGACGGTTATCCAAACGTACTATTTAAATGTATTTTCTCTGTCTCCTTTTTTAAATAAATGTTATTTTTAAAATTTGATAGAAAAATTAAGATTTCAAATTTTATTTTATTTAATTTCATTGATATCGTAATTTTACTAAAATTAAAGTATTTTATAAAATGGGACGAAGAGTGGAAGTAGCTAAAATTTAGATTGAGTGAATGACATCAATTAGTATCTTAATTATAATTGTTGGATTTTATCAATATTTAAAAATTATCAACATATATTTATTTTAAAAAATTTGAAACAATCCTCACAATTATACATCGTCCTGTCTAAAAAATTTAAAATATGATACTTTTTTAATATTATATGAAAACAATCATTGAATTGGATTAAATCAAGTCATTATTAATATACTTTCTTTTCAAAAAATATAAAACATTTTTAACCGAATCGTACTATTTGATAAAATAATTACATACTTTTAAACTAACCGTATCTTTTTATATTTATCTTTATTAAATATTTTATAATAAATATAAAGTCATTTATTAATAGTGATACTTTAAAAAAAATAATAATTATACGTTAAAAATTAAAAATTTTTTATATTTTTTAACATTTAATTTTTTAAAAAATATTTTATACTTTTAGAGGAAGGAGTATATGCCAAATGAAACACCCATTATTGAATTCAAATGCGAGATTGGCTGACAAGGTAATTCATTTTATGAGAAATACGAGGTAAAACAAAATTGGAAGTACTAAGTATTTAAGATTGCCTTGAAATGCTAGATCCCTTTAAGCTAAAATACTATTGTTTAATGATGACTGACGAGCACCTCACTTGCTCCACACTGAGATCAGACGCGTGTTTGTGTATATATATAAACACATGTATAGCCTTGCTAATACAGAACTGAAAACTCATCAAGCCACCATAACTGCCATTTCCCTTCTTCTCGAGTTGGGAAATCCCAAACAAACATGGTGTCACAACTTGTGTTGTTAGGTGGGATCCTCTTGGCCTCAGCTTGGCTTCTTCTTTTCATGAGAAGGATCAAGTCGAAGCCGACGCCGACGCTGAGCCTTCCTCCGAGCCCGCCGGCTTTGCCTTTGGTCGGCCACCTCCACCTCCTCAAGCCTCTGGTTCACCAAGCCTTGCACGAGCTTCAGATCAAATATGGTCCTCTCATGCACCTTCGGCTCGGCTCAACCAACATGGTCGTAGCCAGCACTCCTGAACTCGCCAAAGAGCTTCTCAAAACCAACGAGCTCGCTTACTGTGCTCGTCCAATGAGCATTGCCATCAATCTCGTGACCTACGATAATGCTGCTTTTGCCTTCGCTCCTTACAATACGTACTGGAGATTCATCAAGAAGTTGAGTAACACGGAGCTCTTGGGAGCCCGAACCATCCGGCAGTTTTGTCCGGGTCGGGCCAGCGAGATCCACCGGTTCATTAAGGATCTCATGGATAAATCCATGACCGGAGAGAGCGTGAACCTCACCCAAGAACTCATGAAGCTCTCCGGCAACGTCATCTCACGGATGATGCTGAGCATCCAGAGCACCGGCACCGACAGACAGGCCGAGGAGGCTCGGAATCTGGCTCGGGAGGTGACGCAGATCTTCGGAGAGTTTAACGTCGCCGATTTTATTAAAATCTGCAAAACCTTAGATGTTCAAGGATTTAGAAAGAGAGCCGTGGACTTGCACAAGAGATTCGATGCTTTCTTGGAGAGGATCATCTCCGCTCGCGAGGAGTCTCGAAAGCAACAAAAAGCTTCTGTGAAGGCAGAGGACGGCCCTGATCAAGATGGAGAAGAGAAAGTGAGGGACTTTCTCGACATCTTGCTCGACGTCGCCGAAGATGAGAGTTCCGAGGTTTCTTTGACTAGGAACCATGTGAAGGCGTTAATTTTGGTGAGTAGCTCCACGGAGAAACTTATCATATAATTAACTCACATATATTAAGTAAATTATTAATTAAGCTAGTTTGTTTGTAAAAAAAAATCCCTCCTGTCTTAATTATACTCTGAATTTTTAAAGACTAAAGTATATACTTCTCATTTCAATTTTATCATTTAATTTTTTTAAAATATCTTTTTAACCCTTTAACCATAATATTATTAGTTACAAGTAATTTTTTTGTATTAATTATTATTATTTTAAAAAAATTAAAATCAATATATCAACATTTAAAAATATTTTATTAATATTTAAAAATTTAATATAAAAATTTATTGAGATAAAAAATAATATTAGGATTAAACGATTAAAAAAATATTTTATAAAATTAAAAAATTAAAATAAAACGTTATGTAAAGTTAAAGAACTAAATGTATATTTTAATTATTTTTAAAATTTCATATGATCTTAAATATATCCGGTCTTAATTATAGTGAAAATTTTTAAAATTTTATTTAATCTTAGATATAGGATAAAGATGCAGTAGTTACGCTTTTTTTATATTGTCCCTTATTAATTACATGTATAATTCAATGACACTGCTTTCTTTTGATCATTGATTTTAGTAAATGTTAAAATTAAAAAGTCAACTATTTTTAAGGAGTTTAATAATATTAAATATTAAATACTATTTTTTAAGAATTATAAATTCGGTTACTTTATCTCATAATTATGGCCGAAGGGTTAACATATCTTTTTTATTTGTTTATATTAAAACTATCCCTAGCTATTCATTGTTCACACTAATGTGTACTTAATAAGGATCATTTGGAAAAAAATAACTAATAAATACAAGAAATAAATGAAATAGAATTTTTCATTTAAAACTAAAATAAACTCATGATTTAAATTCTTTAAAGTTTAGATCTATGAAATTCTTTGAAGCATTTTTTTAGCATTTTTCCTGTTTTTATTATTTTTATAAAATATAAAATCGACTCTTTCTTCTTTAAAAGAAAATTTTCACATAAATTTACAGATCTTAATTTCATAGAATTTAAATTAAATTAAATCTTTAATTCCCTCTTACATTGAAGGGTAATATATTTTTTACATTCCCTTCCCCTTGTTTACCTAGAAGAACAAGTATATATATTTTAAAACGTTTCACTATATATGATCAAATATTTGGATTTTTTTTTGGATCTAAAGAATACTCTCTCCATTTAAAAATATAAAGTATTTTTTAAGGGGTTAAATATTTAAAAATATAATGCATTTTTATTTTCTCAACGTACAATCATTATCCTTTTTTAAAAGTGCTCATATTAAATAAATTACTTTATATTTATTTTATAGTAAAATATCTTATTAAATAGAAAAAAATATAGAAAAATAGGGTTTGTTTGAAAATAAATAATCATTTTATTGGAATGAGATTCAATTAAAAATATCTTACTTTTTTAATGGAAGGAGTATATGATTAAAATTAATTAACTACATATATCTAACTTGTGTAATTGTCATGGTTGGAATATATAAAGGATTTCTTCACGGCAGGAACAGACACAACAGCGACAGCAGTGGAATGGACAGTTTCGGAGCTGATAAAAAACCCAAGAGTTCTGAAGAAAGCACAGGAAGAAGTAGACAGAGTGACTGAACAAAAGAGATTAATAAACGAATCAGATATCCCAAACCTTCCATACATTAACGCAATAGTAAAAGAAATCATGAGGCTTCATCCTCCAGTCGCAATGATCAACAGACAAGGAACACAAGACTGTGTTGTGAGTGGTTACTTGATTCCCAAGGGAACGTTCTTGTTCGTCAACGTTTGGGCCATGGGAAGAGATCCCAAGATCTGGCAATCTCCGTTAGAGTTCGCTCCTGAGAGGTTTTTGGAGGGAAAACAGAGTGGCTTGGATGTCAAAGGCCATCACTATGAGTTATTGCCTTTTGGCTCCGGCAGGAGGGGCTGCCCCGGTCAGCCTCTTGCCATGCGGGAGCTGCCCGTCGTCATCGGAGCTCTCATTCAGTGCTTCACGTGGAAGCCGCTCGATTCCGATGGCAAGATCATCGCCGATGGCAAGACTATTAATATGGATGAACGGCCAGGATTGACGGCTCCAAGAGCCAATGATCTATTATGTATTCCTGTCGCACGATTCAACCCTTTTGATGGTTTCCTTCAAGTCTAAGTCAGCGATCCTGCCGTACGTGTGGTCTTAGGGTGTGCTTCGCAGCTTCTTTTATCATTTCTTTCTGGTTTTTCTTTTTTCAATATTTAATAAGCCAATTTAATTTATTGACTGGAAGGTTTGTGCTAGGAGATATCTTTTGTTTTATTAATAATGTTCATGGAGTTTGTGTGTTGTAAAAGAGATGCTATTGTGTAGTCAGCGTTTTCTGTGTATGTAATTTTTTTTTTGTTTGGCCAACTGCAGTTTCCTTTGGTCTTGTTTTGCTTACCAGAAATAAATGAAATAAAATGAATTAAAAAAATAAAAATAAAAATAAATAATTAAAATGGATATGTGAGCATATTCATAAAGAAAATGAATAAATTTATTCATTGAGTTAGGAATCATAATTTATGAAATTTTTTAATATAATAATCTTCATATTTTTATAGTATATATTACTAAGAGTTATTATGCTTGTTATGGGAGAAATGGTGATTTAATTTATCATTCTATTTTATTTTAATAACCAAACGAAACCAAATATTTTTACTTAAAGCACCAAATCTTGCCTCTCTCCTCCCAATCTCCTTTTATAGAATACTTACAATTACGAAAGTAAGGGGGAAAAAAACGAGTGGGGGCATTATGGGATAACTTCAATAACCTTTCACATTGCTTTCGAAAATCAAACCAATGTAGGCCCGCCAAAGTAATGGGCTATAAATAAATTTAATTAGTTTGTCTTCGTATTGGTTTTGACTTGTATAGTAGGCACGTTAGGTTGCTGTTTTTTGTTTGTTTCTTTTGGACTGTTAGGTTTTTATTTGTCTCTAGGCTGTTCGTCCTTTAAAAAAAACATTGATGAATTATATGAGTGAGTGTAATTTGCTTTGAAAATAAATAAAATTGACTCTTTTTGACAAAAGCAACGAAAAGAAGTTAATATCAATTACTCTTCTAGTCCTGTTTAGAACATAGAGAGTATATTTATTTTAATTCTATTTATAAAGTATATTAATTATTATTGTGTGTATCTTTACCCTTTTAACTCCATTAAATGTTGGGAAGGGTATTAAATTTTAAATTATTTTATTATTAAAGTATGTATATTTAATAGGGATAAAGTTAAAAACTAGTTGAATTTTAATTAGACAAAATTAATAAAATTGAAGATTTTTTTTATTTTGATAAAAATATTAAAAATAATTTATAAACAGATCTAGATAGAATTTTCTTCTTTCAAGCCTCGAGCATGACATGCAGGCCACCAAATCAACTTTGTTCTTCTTTTCTTTTCTTTTTTCAAATTCCTTTCTCTGATGAAAGTATAAGCAAATATGAACAATATAGTAGAAGTAAGAGAGAACTATAGAGATAGGAAATGGGGAGAATTCACATTCATGTAAATTTTTATGTGCTTACAATCCTTTGTGCCAAATCTCTATTTATAAGCCTCCAACCCTATGCCTAAAAGTTACAATTTCATAAATAGAATTATTTTACATTATAGTGCAACATGAAACCATTGGAGATTGTAGGAATAAATATTAGAAAACCATCCATTTAAGAGCTATAGGTATAATGACATTAATCGCAAGATGAAATCCTAAGATGTTATAGAGTTATGGACATTCACTTATCATAATATTTATAACATTCTCTCTTGATGTCCATAAACAAATGGTATGTCTCACTAAAACCTTACTAGTAAAAACTCATAATGGAACAAAAATCTAGTAAAGAAAAAATAGTATACAATACATATTAAAACTATCTCATTAAAAACCTTACTAAGAAAATGAAGTGGGACAAAGCCTTGGTTAAAGGAAAAAGAGTATAGAATGAATTTTACTCTTTCTGATGAAGATATCAATTTAACTTTCTCTGATAATATTATCACTCCTTGTGATCATGTCTCAATTGAGAATATTAATTTCTCAAATGTAATTGTCACAAATACTTTTTTAACCAATTTTTTTTAGCCAAAACATGCATGATGCATTTTCATCACACATGCTACCCTAACATATCTTCTAAATATGTTGAATCACTATTACAAAAAATACTTTTTACACACACTTTTTACACTGGTTAAAAAGGAACCGGTGTAAAAAAAAGTGAGAAGTGACATTTTTATAAATAAAAAGACTTGATAGAATATTATTTGAACCGATTCTGCATATAACCAGTGTTAAAAGTACTTTCTACATCGGCTGTACCTATAACTAATGGAAAAAGTTTAAAAATTTATTTTGTGGAAACAAGTGTATAAAAAAACAAAATCTAAACTGGGTAAAATGATCTTGATGTTGAAAATAGTTACATTTTTAAAAAATTATAAAAAATCAAAATGTTTCTAAACTAGGTGAAATAATATTCAGTATAAAAAGTATATGATTTTTCTTTTAGTTTCTCCATCAGACATTGCCCGATATAAAAAGTATTTGAAATATTTTTAAAAAAACATTAATTTCTACACACTAGGTATACATCACTTGGTGTTGAAAGCATCTAAATTTTTTCATTAAAAAAATAAAATATTAGTTTCTATATGGGGTGGTGGACCATACCTAATATAAAAAGTATCTATTGTTTTTAAAAAACCCCCCATCCTTGAACCCTCATCTCCCCCCTCCCCCAAGTTCCCATAGCTCCCTTGTCCCCTCCCGCTCTACCCAGCCTCACTCCTTGTTGCCCCAGCCCCTTAGACCCCCAACCCCCCACCCCCATTACCCTTATCATCCCTACTCTTTTTACACTCACAAACACAGAGGACTAATTTGTGAGTGTTTGTGTGTTCTTTGTGTGCGATGGTATGGAGTAAAGAGAGAAGTTGGACTCATCATACTCTCTGGCATTAGAAAGTTTTGTGAATATCCAAACACCAAGCTTCATCATCCATCAATATTATCTAAATCTTTGTGTAGAAAGCCTACTTATTACACGGTTGAAAAACCAATGTAAAAAGTTAGGACTTTCTACACCCTCTATTTTTACACCAATTTTGGAACTAGTGTAAAAAAAAATTTAATCAGTGTAAAAAATATTTTTTGTAGTAGTGAATTATTAATATATATACTCTATTTGTCTTACATGTATTGTCAAGATCACAAAATAAAAGTTATTCAAAAAATCATCATGGTATATCATGTATTCGCATGTTCAACTTATTCAGAAACAATTGATATCACGTAATGGTTTAATAGAACTATACAAAACTTTCATCTCAATATTTATTCATATACTTGTAGGAACATAATTTTTCTTACAAAATTAATAGCATTTCAACATGGGAAAAATATATAAATATTATCATAGAATAAACAAATACTACTTATAGAGAATCAAAGTCAATATATTTCGTGGAAAAAATTATCATAAAAAATATAATGATTTTAAAATCATAAGGATATCCAATAATTCAATTTACAAAGCAAATAAAATTCAGAATTAAACATTTTTCAATGCTCAGATCAATTATATATACTCAAACTATTTTAACCCATGTAAACATTACAAATAATTGTCTCGATCATACTTCTAGCATTTTTTATCCTTTAAGGATTTTCATGTGAATTTCGTGAATTTCACTATTTAGTGAGTCATATGCATATGCTATAATAATATTCAATTGGCGTATTATTTTAATTTCATAGATTGCTAGGCTAATGATATATGCAAAAATATACCACAAGATAACATACTTGGTCATAATCATTACTATATCTTTGTGAAAATCCTAATTTTCATATAAATGTTCATATATCTCATAATAGCTTTACATTTCAAGTGTTTGATTTGGATGTCTATAATTTTCATATAGTCAAATTGATGAATGTAATTCTACTCACATTATGTCACTTTCGTTTCCTTTTCCTTTGGCCAATCATCTTTCTATCCACTTTTCATAATGTGTATAATATTATCATTTGATTATATGATATTATCATCAAAATTGTGTCAATAATTTTATGCATGTATTCGATTCCATTTTTTCAATGATAACATAACTTTTTGAAATCTCCTTATTTACTTTCAGGTACCTAAACTACTTCTAAGGATTTTAAAATCAGTTATGTCTTGACCCTTTTCTAGAGTGTCTACCTCCTTATTATTATCATTTTAATTTTATGCCCTTTTTTTCAAGTTATATTTATATTTGAAACCAACTATTCTCTGATACTTCAAGCATGCCTCATTTTCTTTTGTAATCATTGGAGCATTTTCAGCTAGAATATAAGAATTACTAATTATTATTTAGGGTAGTAATTGCATTCGGAAAATTTTTTATAATATTTTATGAATGCATTTGATAAACTTGTAGCTCATATTCACTACAAAAAATTAACAAATTAGTGACGGAATATTCCATCGTTAAAATTTTATCATTATTCCATCACTAATCCTTCAAAAATAATTTACTAATAGAATTTATCGATGAAAATTTTGTTGCTAATTTTCAAAATATCTTATTCCAATGTAGTGATGGAATTTGCGACAAAAAATTCCATCATAAAGCTTTATGCATTAATGTCGCTAATTACGTCACTAATTATTTTTAATTTAAGTTTATTATTTATAATATATTTTTATTTAATATTTTATTTAATAATAATTTAAAACATATATTAATTATTCTTATTTAAAAATAAAAATAAAATAAATAAATAAATAAAAATTTAAAATATTTTATATTATATAGATACAAATTATAATATAATATAATATATAATGATAATAAAATATTTTTAAATTTATTTTTTAATTTACTATCAAAAATAATTTTTTAAAAATAAAATATAATATAAATTATTATTATATATAAATTAGTTTGGCCATATTAATAAATAAATATAATGTTAAAAAATAAGTAAATTTAAATACTATATTTAACAATAATTTAAATAATATATTTATTAATATGTGTCTGGTTAAGTATTATGTATTTAATTATCAATTAAGATTGAATATACTTTTTAGCTCAACTGACAATAAGGTGGACGCAAAGGCACTAAGGAATATGAGGTTGTGGGTTCAAGCTTGACCAAGGTACAATTAAATGTAATAATATTTGACATGACAGTGACAAATAATGTAGCAACAAGGTGGCAATGAGGTGACACTGGTCCATTAAGTGACGAGGAGGTAGTGAGGTGGTATTGATCTACCAAGGTAATGTGGCAATGATGTTTTGTTCCACCTAAAAATTAGTGATAAAATTAGCAATGGAATAAGTTCGTTGAAAAATTTGCAAC